CTGCCCCTGCCCCTGCCCCTGCCCCTGCCCCTGCCCCTGCCCCTGCCTCAGCACAAAATCGAAGCCAAGGAAGAATCGGACGAGTCAAGCATGAATATGGGATTTCAACTAATTACAAAACCTTAACCAATCCAGCTAGCTTTATTTGTAAAATATGGAAATCAAGGCTTAGAGAGATTTAGATGATGAGGCAATTTATCTAAAAATGATGGAGAGTGCAGAGAGGAGGATATAGCTCCATTAGAGGGTGCTTCAAATAGGGGAAGCCTTAAATTCAGGCTCCATCATGGCAGAAAGAGAGTAGGCAGGGAAGTTACACTATTCTCTGCCTGCATAATCAAAAGAAGGCAGAGACTGGAGCCAAGCATGATGGTCCATGCCTGTACTTGCAATACTCAGGAGGCTCCTAAGTTCAAGGCTACCTTGGGCTATGTAGGAAGACCGTATCCCAAGAAGAAAAGGGACAATACAGATTGAGTTTTCAATAGAGTTCAGAAAACCCGGCCCCAGCTTTTTAAAACCATGCCCAGATCTTTTTTTGTTCGAGGCCAGGCTGGCCTCGAACTCAAAAATCCACCTGCCTCTGCCTCCCAAGTGCTGGGATTAAAGGCGTGTGCCACCACTGCCCGGCTCTCTGAATTCAATCCTTAGCACTGCAATTATTAAGTTGAACTGTAGGGCTGGGCTTAGTGGTTCACACCTGGAATCCTAGCACTTGGGAGGTAGAGGCAGGAGGATCAGGAGACCAAGTCAGGCTGTTTCCCTTATGTAGTCTGAGGCTAGCCTGGGCTACATAAGACCCAGTTTCAAAACCTTTATTTTAATATTAATGTAAAATATAAGAAGTGAAGATGATGTTACTCTGGAGAAAAGGGAGGAAGGGAAAGAGATCTAGGAGATGGGGAACTTTATTATGGTGCCCAGGCCTAGGTCTGTGCCCACGTGGAGATCAGAAGATGATTTTTGTGGGGTTACTTCTCTCCATCTTTTATGTCCCAGGAATTAAACTCCGGTTGTCAGGTTTTCAAGTACTTTGCCCAGTGGGCTATCTCAGAGCTTGAAACTGGTAGTGTTTCTTGGTCTGAGTAGTTACTTGGGTCCTCTATGTAATATTTCATCAAGGTGTTCATTTGTAATTTGAGCAATAGTCTGTGTTAACATTTTAAAAAGAAATTGAATATTAGCATTGTAATAACAAGCTTATGATTAAAGATAGCTATTTACCTTTAAAAAGTGAGATCAAAACCGAGAGATGAAAACAGCAAGTGAGAAGTTTCCCTTCTCTGGGGTTAAGATAGGGTTTTCAGAGAGAGCATTATTGTGGGTTTTACCACTTTTGGTCTCCCTCAGTTTTCTGGTGGGCAAGTCAGAGCGAGCAGCACAGGGGACTTCGTAAGCACTTCAGAAGAACTGAGCAAATTCTAAAAGGAACGACTTGCTAAGCTAGAGTCGCTTCTGTACTGAAATACCATATTAGTTGCTTATTGCTATATTAAAGGAAAGTTTAAACAAATTATTAATGATTCTCAGTTGCTCTGAGTAAGGAAATTAGGAGTAACTTAGCTGTCAAGTTTAGCCTTAGTATTTTATTTATTTTATTTTATTTTATTTTATATTTTATTTTATTTTATTTTATTTATTTTATTTTATTTTATTTTATTTTATTTTATTTGGACAGGGTTTCCCTGTATAGTCCCAGCTGTCCTAGAACTTGCTCTGTAGACCAGGCTGGCCTCTAACTCACAGAGATCCACCCTGCTCTGTTTCCTGCGTGCTGGGGTTAAAGACATGTGGCACCACCTGGCTACCTTAGGGTCTTTTAAAGGGTACAGTTGGGCTAGAGAGGGGGCTTAACAGTTAAGGGCACTTGTTGATCTCACAACTATCCATAACTCTAATTCCAGAGGACAGAACACTCTTCTGACATGCAGACATAAGGCATACGCATGGTACACAGACACATACAGGCAAGTAGTACCAGTGTAGTTGAGTATTACTGTGACAGACCTGACCATATTTTTGGAAGACTAGAACGACTTTGGAACTTTGGGCCAGCGACTGAGTGTTAAGGGCTCAGTGGGATGTTCTTTAGGAGCTTGGAAGATAAGAATGTCAAGGATGCAGAAGATGGAGGCCCGGCTTGTGAAGTTTCAGCAGGAAATTTAAGGACTATCAGTGCCGTTTGCTATTTTGAATTAAGTATCTATCATTCTCATCAGCTGGGGCTAAAGTCAGCCATGATCAACAAGAGACCACCACCATTGAAGCATTACTGGGATAGTTTATCCTGGTTAGCCAGAGCTAAGAAATTAGCAGTGATTAAGAAGAGACCAGCATCACTTTTGGGAAGTGTTTCCGAAGAGCACAGAGAAGCTTGTTCCATAGATTGCCAAGATTGTACCTGATGCTGGCAGCTGGACTTGGTGATGTAAGAGTTGTTCAGGTGGTACTTGTTTCCAAGACATGAAAGAAGAGCTGCTGAGGCTTGGCACTGTGAGAGGCCAGGAAAGACCATTGATGAATGTGCAGCCTTAGTGGCAGCTGAAGACCCAGAATTGAATGGGTCATGCAGTGAAGTTGAGGCTTGGCACCATGAACAGAGTCCAGGAGAGGCTATTGGAGAAAGTACAGCTAAGTTGCTACAGAAGACTCCAGCATTTTGGAGATGGCAGTACCACAGGATGACCACCAAAAACAGCAGCAGTGGAGTGGAGCCAGCAGAGCCTAGAAGACAAGCTGTGTGTGCTACAGAGGCCTGAGCTGCAGAAATGACCCAAGCCCTTCGGAGGAGCCCAGTAGATAGTAAGTGAATCCCAGACATTGGATGGCTAGAGTTTGGTTTGGGATTTATGACTACGCCCTGATTTCCCCCCACTTAAAGTAAGAACATATTTAGGTTTTAAAAAAAATTTTTTTTAATTTCTTTATTTTACTGGAGCCCATGACTGAGAGACTTTGAAC